AATAATAATAATAATAATAATAATAATAATAATAATAATAATAATAATAATAATAATAATAATGACTAGAAAGTTGCTTTTAAAGAGAATAAACATTAGAACTGATGGTAAATTTATTCTAAAAACTGATTTCAGTTCAGAAGCCTGGGCAATCATAATTTTTTAACCTTGTAAATTCTAGCTAATCAGCATTGCAATTTTTTTACATGCTTTTGAACTGCTAGGTTGGCAGAAGCTGAGACAAGTAACTGGAGCTCACTCCGTTATAGCAATAGCAGTTAGACTTATATATCGCTTCATAGGGCTTTCAGAGTCAGCATATTGCCCCCAACAACAATCTGGGTCCTCATTTTACCCACCTCGGAAGGATGGAAGGCTGAGTCAACCCTGAGCCAGTGAGATTTGAACAGCCGAATGGCAGAACTGCAGTCAGCTGAAGTAGCCTGCAGTGCTGCATTTAACCACTGCGCCACCTCGGCTCCACAAAGCCTCTAGAATCAGTGTAATCTACATTTTTCTGGTTAGATTTATAAAGCCACCTCAAATCATTCTTCAAGGCCCTTGATGTGTTTACTCAATCTGGACTAGGTTTTCCTACACTGCTTAAGTAGTGATTAAAAATAAATTATGGAAATTTGGCCTAACTAGTTCTTATAGTTAGATTTAATTCTTTAGGGGGGGTGGGGTGGGAAGCAGCCATTTTTTTCCCTTGCATCTTATCGGTTCAAGCATTAACGATGATGGGACAAAGCTATCTCTGAGACCACACCAGTGGTGGGTTGCAGGCGGTACGCCCCGGTACACGCATACCGGTGCTTGCCGGAAGCAGCAGCCACCGTATCGGAATGGTGCTTTGGAGGGCCCACCCGCCTACCCTCGTTCCTTACCTGTATTTGAAGGAAACAGGCCATCTGCGCAGGTGCGCACAGCATACGGTGCCTGTGCAATGCTCTGCTGGGCACATACATGCGCAGCGCATGTGCCCATGGTGCACGCCCGGCCCAGTTCCAATGGTTAGCTGAAACCCACTACTGGACCATACAACATATCCTTGACTTCAACAGAGGCTAACAGATCCAAACTCTTAAATTATGCTTCCAAATGACCTTTCCTGGATATTTTCATTCTCAAACGGACAGACACTTACCTTACATAGTTTTGATACTCTATCCTCCAGGAAGTAGAAGATAGAGGGGTAGATCAGCAACTTTTTCATTCTAGAACAGAGTTTCTCAACTTTGGCTATTTTAAGATGTCTGGGCTTGAACTCAGAACCCAGAATTCCCCAGTATGTTTAGCTGAGAATTCTGGCAGTTGTAATCCACGGAGGTTTTCAAGGTTGAGAATCGCTGGCCGAGATTGAAGCTGATGCTATTAGAGTGACGTTGTCGAATGTGGCTTATCCAGGGCTCACTTTTATTTTATTAAATCGAAATCTGTACTCTGTTTTCATGTTTATATGAGCATTTTATTGTTGTTTTTCAAGAATGAAAAAGTATTAAAAAGCGAAAGAAATTAATTCAATCATAATTAAATTAAAACCAGTCTCATTAAAACCAGTTGACAATTAAATGCTTGGGGGGAAAAATGTGTGGAAATTTCGGGGTTTTATTTTTTATTTTTTTGCCATTTTCCTAAATATTGAAAGAGTGCAGACCAAATAGACATTCCTGGGGAAATTTTGGGAGCCTCAAGCAGAAAGAAATACCTAACACCAGAACGTCTTCTAAAAGGATCTATTCTGCTGATCTGAGAAACCATCTTCTTTGTAACAGGCAATACAGTCCTTCAATTATTCAGTCCCACAACCATGCATGGCTCCAAAGTCAACACCCACACTTCAAATTGTCTCCCAAAGGCACTTTTCAAAGAAGAACTGGATTTTTGTTGTTATTTTTTCCTTGGAAAACATTTCACTTCTCATCAAGAAGCTTCTTCATTTCTGACCGAATGGTGGGGAATAATATAATAAAAACTTACCGCAAACCTTACGATAGTCTGCAAAGAAAAACAAAAAAAACAAAAATAAGAGAAAGTCAATTGTAACAAATGCCTCTAAGTGAAAAAAAAATTATTTAATATTTACATATTCATCTACATTAGTTCACTGTGTTCTGGTTGAGATGATGAAAATTACATAATGTGTTCCATTGCTTAATAGAATTATTTCATAATTTCATCAAAACAATAATTGGATATTCAGTATCTTGCTATATTTGGGGTGTGGCTCATAAACCATGATGAAATATTCTGCCCCATTAATGACATCAGACCTCAGCAGACATTAATTTCAGGATATAATCTAAATCTGAAGTTTTAATAGGGACCTCAGCAATTCTTGGCTATATCAGACATCCCCAGATCCTTATATTGGATAAAGTTAGTTTGACTGCTCCAATCAGTTGCAGAGTTTTCAACAGCTTCACAGCAATTAAATGTAAATGCAGATAATCTTCAGTTTACCACCAGAATTGGGAATGTAATTTCTCTTGTAAGTCACTACGATCGAATTGAGTCACTCCATGAACAGAACCAATTTTATGAAATTGTTACGGTGTTGGGAAGAGAGTCAAGTGGTCACAGCTTCCCTAAGGTGGATTTTTTTGCCATAATTGGTAAGAAACTGGCAAAAAAGAAGCTTGTATATTGTGGTAACGTGGCCACAGACATTGCAACTGGTTGCAAAGAGAGTCAGTTGCCAAGTGCCCAAATTATGATCGTGTGACTGCAGGGGAAGGTGTGACAGTCATAAGGGTGGGTGCATGACATAAGTCACTTTTTATGAGACTTATAATTTTGAACCATTGTTAAACAAATTGTCATTAAGGCAAGGACTTCCTATAACTGGGTAATTTACCCAAAACGCTACACCAACAAGCTTATCAAGAGTAACCATATTGTAAACTTGCCTTATGCAAATTTCAGGAAACCTTTTGCCAAACATACATCATAGCTGAATTTAATTACCTTGCATGCAAGATTGAATGGGAGCCAGATAATAAATAATATGTCCACCATCCTCTTTTTTTCAGAAAGTTTTCTAACGTGGGGGAAATTAAACATGCTCAGAATCTTCATTAAGGTTGTGGCACAGTAGAACATTGTCCTTGCCACAAGAGGCAACAGCATTCCACATGCCGCACCATCCTAAAACCTCCTTCTATTACAGTGGAAGGCAGACATCAAAACATCACAAAGCTCTATGATTTTTATTTAGTGACTGGGAGTAATCTGCTAATTTAATGGAAAATGTATGCTGTACCAGCAGATTCTAATATACTACAGAACTCAATTCATCTCCAGCTGTCATTCAATATTACATATACATGTGCTGTTTGAGAATTTTTAGCAGGATTATTATGTACAGATCACAGCAACTTGAAGAGCACATCATAGTGAACCAGTTTATAGTCAACTGGCCTCTTCCACTGACTCTGCTGACTGTTGAATAGCAGCAATGGGATTAGATCATCCTATGGAAATATTGCTCAAGCTAATTGGAGATTTTAGATGCATTACTCCAACCTCCAATCTTAAGGCTGTACTTGAAACATATTTGGAAGCTTGTAAAGCTCTCAGTTTTTAATTGATAATTGATGTTATGGTTGTCTATGTACTCAGTTGAGCAAGCATGAAGTTTTGTTAGGATGGGAGCTTGAAAAGGGGAGAGCAACCTTAATATCTTCTTTTTCCTTGAAGACGTTTCTCTTGGTGTGGTGGTTGAGGCACCAATCTAGAAACCAAGGAAACCAACGGTTCTAGTCTTACCTTAGGCACAAAGCCAACAGCTTGACCTTGGGCCAGTCACTCTCTCACTACCCTAAAAAGAAGGCAAAGGGAAACCACTACGGAAAATCTTGCCAAACAAGCTCCAGTGATCTGTCCAGGAGTCAACACTGACTCAAAGAGACAAAACAACAACAACAACAACAACAACAACAGCCCCCGAATCAACTACTTTATGAATTTTAGCTCTTCATTCAGATTATGGGGCTGAATGCAGAATTCAGAAACAGTTTCTTCATTAACCATTCAATTCAGTTGACTTCTACGAAAAACATTTTCAACAAATGTTCATAGGATCAAACCACACTTTAAGATTAAAGTGTGGCTTGTATTTAAACCTTTGCATGCGCAGTAAGTAAATGGGTGGAGGTTTGTCACCTATTGAGGTGGTGTTTGGGAGAGCTGAAGAGATGTTTGTTGCAGTGCCAGTGGTTGGAGTAAAGGGAGTACTCCCATCATCTGCCAAGAAATAAACAGAATGTTAGCATCACATCCAGAAATGACTGCTAATATATTTCCCATCCAGGGAAATAATTTCAAAGCTGAAAGGAAAGTTGCCGTGTTGCTTTTCCAAATCAAAAAGTAGGAAAAATATAATTTTTCTACTACACATTATGTAGTATTACATGCTACAACAGTCTATTACACAATAACAGAGCTTACATTCTGAACAAACATGAGCACAACTAATGTTAATTTAAGGTGAAATCCTTCTACTTAATTGGAGATTATGACACCTCATGGGGGTTGTATCAGAGGTAATGATGAACAATGGTCTACCATGATGGTAATCAGATTAGGGCCAAATTAGCCCTTTTTTTATACCCCATGGCTTGCTATAAAGGAACAAGCTATTAAGAAAAATAAATCACAAATTTGATAGAGCCACAATAAGTCACAAATTTGATAGAGCAGTCATGAAGATTTTAGAAAAGATATTTACATGCTATAATGTTTTTACA